AGGGCTCTGACCTCGGAGACCATGCCTGCAGCATTGAGGAGGATCACTTGGCTCCCATGCTCGGTCCATGTCTGCAACAAATTGTTGTCAGACATGGGGACGTGTTGCGACGCGTTTGTTGATACTATCACACGCGCTCGTGTGCTAGTGGTGTTTTTCAAAACCCACCAAGCGGCCCTTCATTTTTTTAGGAAGCGCAGCCCCAACCTCGGTCTTGTTCTTTCATGCGAGACGCGGTTTGCGTCTGTGTACTCCATGTTGGAGAGGCTCATGGCCCTGCAGGACACTTTGCACGACATGATGCGAGGGGATGACGCGCGGGTTTTTGCCTCCATCCCGTGGTCTGCCGATGTTTGTTACATGGCGCGTTGGGTGCGACGACAGATCAGATGGGATCCTTGGTGGCAGAGGGTGGCCACCATCGTCCATATCATGGAGCCCGTGATGCAGTTGCTCCGACGGATGGATCCTGGAGGGCAGTTCATGTCGCTCGTGCTCGAGTGGGCACAGGATCTTGTGCAGCGGGTGAAGGAGGCATGCGCTCCTTTGGGGTCCTCGATCGCAGACCGGATCATCAAGCGTGTGCAGGTACGCTCGCAGGACATGTTAGAGCCGGCCCACTGCGCTGGGTTCTTACTGAGCCCCCGCAGGCGACATGTTCGATATTTTTCCGGCGAGGTGCAGGAGTACCATGCTTGGCTTGTGAGACAAGCCAAGAGGTACATTCTGACACATACGGGTTTCGATTTGGAGGGTGCGGAGTACCTCCAGGCCTGCCGGCAGTTCGAGGACTTCCACATGCAGCAGGGCAGGTTTGGTGATTGGGGCGGGGCGGAGGGGCGTGCTCGTGGGCGCGCGTGTAGCGGTGACACCGAGACGATCGAGTGCGCGTCTTGGTGGTCCCAGTATGGGGCTCGCGCCCCTGAGTTGCAGCGGCGCGCTCTTCGTGTGATGCACATGTGGTTTTGCGCCTCTCCAGCGGAGAGGAACTGGGCAGTCCACGAGGGCATCCACACGAAGAAGCGTAACAGGTTGGCCTTTGAGAAGGTCGTGCAACTCGTTGAGATCACCGCAAATGTGCGGTTGACAGAGTATCGGCGGGCAGGATGCGGTTACGTGCTTCCATGGCAGCGTGACAAGGGGATGTTGGACTGCCAGGCAGGACTGGAGGTTGAGCCGGTGCGCATGGGCACGCGCCAGGGGATGACGGCGGCGGAGATTGCAGAGCAGGTTGCGCTGATTACGCGCGATCCGTTTGGGTCTTCCGCACCTTCATCCGCTGATGTCGTTTTTGACAGACGTGCTTGCATTTTCCGTCCGTACCCCAGGGACGATGACTCGGATGAGGCGCCCCCACTCGACGGAGTAGATGACCCTGCCCTGCCCATCCCGAGCGAGATCGACGAGACGCATGAGGAGGCCAATGATGCCGAGGTGAGGACATACACGGCTCGTCGGGCAGCGGACCGGGCAGAGGAGGAGATGCAGGGGGGGGACGAGGATTTATGGGGCCCTTTCGGGGAGGTGGCTTCCACCGGTGATGCGCGTGCTGACAGAGGCGGGGCCTCTCATGCCAACACGAGCCGTGCAGAGGCGGGGAGACCGAGCCCTGCTCCTGCCGGGTGAGAGCCGGCCGTTCAGCCATCTCCTGCGCCGAGTCTTGCACCACCCATCCCCGTCTCGCCTCTTCAGCCAGCCACTACAGAGGCGGAGACGGAGGAGTTGGCATCCTCCTTGCCTTCGCAAGGGGTTCTGCAGAGATCGACGGTGGTTCGACAGCTGAGGTTACGATCACCTTCCCCGGGGGTATTACAGGAGGAGGGGGATGTGGCAGCAGCAGCGGAGGAGGCACCAGCAGTCTCGACAACGAGGGAGGAGGTGCCAGCACAGGCGACGACTGAGGAGGAGGTAGCGGTAGCGAGGCCGCAGGAGGCCGTTCCTATGGATCATGACAGTGCGGACACCGATGAGCAGCTCGTGCGGCGCTTCGTCACGAAGGAGGTCGATCCAGTCGTGGGGGGTTTGACCCCGGGGGCGGCAATGGAGCTGGGGATTTCTGCTCCCATAGGGGGGGCGGGGTCAGAGATGGGGACGCACTTCGACTTTGACTTGTCGATGGGCCCTCCACCTACTTGCGGCGGGGCGATATCGACGGATCGGGCGCCGTCACGGAACGACGCAGCAGACGCGACAGAGTCTCCAGATACAGCACGCGACATCATGGAGCGAGAGAGGGCTCGACTTATGGCATCACGTAACCCACGTGCTCAGGCGTTCGCACAGGCCTTGGAGGAGGCCAAGCGTCGAGGGACAAGGGGGGATGGTGTGCAGGGTGGGGTGGTGGCTGGGGAGGACGTTATAGAGGGAGTAGCAGCAGAGGCGAACGATGAGGCTATACAGGGTGGGCCAGAGGCAGTGGACAAGCGGCGGATGAGGCTGTGCAGGTAGGACAGCGGCGAGATGAGCGGGCTATAGACGTACGGCCCGTGGTTCAGGAAACAGCGACGGGTTCAGTCGTTCCTTTCTCGGGCCTGCACTTGGCTTAGGGCCGACAATCGCAGCCGGTTCAGGTGGCAATGCATGGTGTGCCACCGCCCGTTATCACGGATATGGGGTCCGAGCCGGTGGTGGTGCCTCCACGTCCTCCTACTCACTTTGCTCTGCAGGAGGTCCGTCGTCCTTTGGATGCACATGAGTTGGCGAGAGATGCTGTGCGTGATGTTACTCGATTGGACCGACGGATCTTCGACCGAAGGCTCGAGCATCCAGCATGGCACGCGATCCCTTCGGTTCCATGGAGTCTTGCGTCGCCCGTGTGGTCTGGGTCTACCTCCACCGGAGGACGTACTGCGGGAGATGTTCCAGGGGTTTCGGGTGGCGTGCAGGAGACAGCGCCACATACAGGAGACATGCCACCCCCTCCTCCTAGACCACCTGTAGGTGATCCATCATCGTCGCCCACAGGTAGAGGCTCTCGATCCTTACAGACGCACGGGAGATCGAGGATTCGTGACACAACAGCAGTTCTGCGGGACGTGTGTGACACGTCCATATTCGGGAGGACAAACATAGATTTGGATTCTACCCGCCGTGTCACGGAGCACACTGCACGCCTTCATTCGGGCTTGGGAGGAGTTGGTGCCAGGACGACCGCAGCGAGGGAGGTGCCAGCATCAGGTTGTGAGCCTCAGCGAGGTCGTGGTAGAGGAGTGTCCACCGACACCTTGGAGCACGCTCTGAGAGCAGCAACGCGTGCTGTGCAAGAGCAGACTTCACGCAAGCGTGGAGTGCCGTCTCGTCCACGCCCTGTGGCTGCAGAGGGAGGCGCTGCGCTTGGAGAGAGTTCGGGGGCGGAGGGGTTGGGGATGCCTCCTGGATCCCGCCGTGAGCAGACGGTTGCAGAGGCTAGTGCGAGGGTTGTTTTGTTGAGGAAGGGAGGAAGCCCTGTCACCATCAAGGTGGATGATCCTTAGACGGATGCGGCAGTGCGGGAGGAGGACAAGGACTACGAGGGCGAGGAGGAGGGTGAGGAGGAGAGCGAGAGCGGTTCCGACGGTGACGACGACTACGGCGACGATGGGCCCCCAGGCCCCCCACCTCCCCCGCCGACGCGTGCATCTAGACGGTCCGCTGCGCAGACTTCTTCGTCCGCACGAGGGAGGAGGAGGTCGGCATCTGGCACTCGAGGGGGTGCGAGGAGAGGGAACGGGGAGGGGAAGAAGGGTCGTTGACCGTAAGGCCAACACTCCGTTTTTCCCCTACTCGCACCGTACTTCATCATGTTGTGAGGTCCTGTTTTTTCTGGTCGTGTCGTCTTGTCTCCGTATTGTTAGACACTCAGTGAGTCAATGGTAGTGTGCGTGTTGTAGTTGTTGTTTCCTTCGTTTTTCGTGTGTATGATTTTGGTATCAGTAGGGTGTTCGTAGATTAGCGTTGGTTGCAGCAGACTGAGTACAGTACAATATCTCGGCAGCTATGACACGACTTGTAGACTACTGTTTCTTGTATATTTTTCGACATCTGGTACGAGTGTTTTTAGCAGTAGGATTATACTAGGATACATTGTATTATGTTACATTTTTCATGTGTGATTTCAGTGAGAGGTACTTCGCGTTGTTCACAACTTCTCATGTACATTACATTGTCCATGTACATTTTCAGTTACGAGTGATGCACGTCGTGTGCACGACGTTTCGTGGCCATTTTTCTCAGGTCTGTGATTTTTTATCTTTATTTGTTGTTCGCATTTTAAATTTCATTTCTTGCGTTTGTTTCTTCTGATTTATTTTTTGCTTTCAGAGTTGGGTGGTTGTTTTCTTTATTTTTTGTGTTGATTGTCGAATCTATTTGCATTGACTGAAATGCTAATTGATATTTCGGGGGGTACTTAGTGGTAACGGGGGGGTGCGGTTAGGGGGTCGCCGGGTAGTGGGGGTTGGGGGTG